GATTAAGATATTTTTGATGAAATCTGAGAGCTTTCTGACCCTGCATAGACAGCAACGCAACTACCACGTTCAAGGCCCAGAAGGTAGTTAGGACATCGTGAACGTGCATCGAATACTGACACGGAAGAGAAGAAAATGTTGAATAAAGTAATTATTTTTGTTTTCTTTGCAAACAAAAAGTATTCTCGTAGCTTCATAAAAATAAGGTTGAACCATTGATTTCACATGAACTATTTTAACGATGTCCTCACTACCTTTATGGGCCTTGGAACGTGGTAGTTGCATTGCTGAGACACAGGGAAAATATATATTTCAATACTGTCTCTCGCAGTTATATCACTGGGTAATTATACTGTATATAAAATGTGGGCATCAGGGAGCCACTATTAATATGCGGGGCATTAAAACTGCTTTCGAATGAACAATCACTTTTTACTTTCACTTTCGAGATTTGCGATCGCACGTGCTCTGTGTAAACTACAGCTGCAGTACTTACCACACATTTTACAAGATCAGATGCTTGTCAGTGGTGCTCATGAACTGTAAATCATTCGCCATCATCCTGTCATCTCTCCATACTCTGTTTATGTGGTAAGTGAAAACTTATGTACTGTAATGTAACAGGCTACCACTAACAAGCAGCTAACCATGTCCCTTTAGTGGCTCGCGTTATTTTATTAGGGTATTTGCAAATGTTAGGGGCGTAACTATTAGTGATCCCGACTGTAACATCACAGTCTGTGTTATGTTCTGATTCGCCTATTTTTCAGTGGTCTTTTGCATGCACGAGACTTACATAAGAAGGAGGAAACAATGGTGTTTGAGGCTCACGGTATGTCATTTCCATGTACCGAACTGTTATTATTCAACTATGCCAAGGTAAATACAGTTTTCCATTCTATGGCACCTTTAAGTAACTTGCAAGAAGTTCCAAATATTTTGTTATTGAAAATTAGCGTTTCAAGATCAAACATGAACTCCAAGGCTTCAACTACAACAACTGCAAAAACTGTGCCAGTGCTGTCTAGTGCTTTATTGGGTCACTGAGAATGAGTCTCCACAGATGAGTTGTGTCATTGAATTTAGTGAACCATTTTTTTTTTTAATTAACCAGACTAGCATATGTTGACTAAATCTGGATTTCAAGAATACTTCACTGAAAGTGACATTAAAGTGATGGATTGGAACTTCAATAGGGCTCAAACAACAGGCGTTTAAATACGATCTACTGTCATATTACAGGCTAATTGTTCAGAAATCCACTTATGTGCATTCAGAGCCAGCTTATATAACCCATTTAATATGACATTTAACAGCACTGCAATAATGAATATGCCATGCTCTGATTCTTGTCAGCATGAATCGTGATAATAATGAGCTCCATGTTGAACCTGAGGCAAAGGCAGTCCTACTGCTTTCTCATGTTATCAGTGTCTGTGGCTCTAGCAGCAGCTTCAGCCTAGTCGTTGTCAGACATTTTCGGAGCATGTTCAATACCTCTTGCACTTCTCTGAGACATTATCTATGGCAAGTGACATACGCCCTCTTGCTGTCTGTCCTTCATTAAGGGGCCAAGAGGGAGTGAATATGTGTATGTGGTGTGGGAGAATTACAAGCTTCTGACACCACAGACACTGAAACTGACAGGGGGCTGGCAAGGAGAGAGAGAGTCAGAAAGAGGGAATGGGAAATAAAGAAGAGGGGTGGGACAGAGATAGAGAGTTTGACAGAGGGCTCAAGGGATAGAATAATGAAGTCTTTAAATGAGCTTAAACTGCAGTGCCAATAAGTATGTCACAACTTATCTTGCTGACGGCCACCACAACAACAGGAAGAGGAGCAGAGAGTGAAAAATCGAGAATGAGAGAGATTACAGGTAAAAGGAAAGCTTTTATCTGGCTTTGGTTTGGTGTCTGGATGTATAGCTTTTTTTCAAGAACAAGAAACGCAGAAAAGGAGTCTCAGTGGATACACAGAGGATATGCAAAAAGAAAGAGGTAGATCCTGTAGAGGGAAGCAAGAGAGAAAAAGACTGACATTAACTGGGTGAGAATGGGAGGAAAGAGTGTGACAAGAAAAAGGCAGGGTTGAGTTTAGAGAATAAAAGTAGTCTGTTTATGAAGATTAAGTTAGTGGAGACAAAAGATGAAAGTCTTTTCTGTTTCCTTCCCTTTCGTTCAGGCTCCATCCCTCCTCCTCCTCTCTCTCTCTATTATTAGAGTGTTCTAATGATTGCCTGTTTCTGTGTCACCAGTTTCACAAAACATTTCCCTGTCAGTTTTTATTGCAGAATGGATGTGTACGAGTGTGTATGTGTGAATGTATGACAAGGCAAAATCTGAATTTGTGCAGTTCCATCTCACAAATTCAGACACACAAATTAAAGGCACTAGAAGAAAAGGTAAATCTCAATCTTCTGAAACGTTATGAGTGCTGATAATCCAGAAGAAAATTTTATTGCTCAATGGCTGTTTTACTATAGCTCAGGAGACCTAATGGAGTTCTCAATAATTTTCTATTTCATGTATCAACTGAGGAGAAAAAAAAATAGACAAAAATTTGACAATTGTTGACATATGGCACAGTAAGATTATAGAGCTATAAAATTAAAGTGACAGTTCACCATAAAAACACCATCACTTACTCACCTTCATGTTGCTCCAAATCCCTATGACTTTCCTTCATCCATGGTAAACAAAAGCTTAAGCTGTTAAGCTAAATATCCTGGCCATTTTGCCCACATTTATAAAGTTAATGCCAAAAAGTTGCTTATCAGTGAAAACCTTGACATCCACCCCTGTCTCTCCTTGAATTCATTAGATTTCATGAGAGATGTAGCCATGTCTGATTCACATGGACAAGTATATGCTATTTTGGGCTTTGGTTGTGCACTTAAATACAAACACAAATATGCCAAAATGTTAGCATTGGAAAGTTTTCACTTAAAAGCGGTCAGTTATGTCGTAAGTAAACATGAACACTTGGGAAAGTAATTGATTGCTGGTCAGTATATTAGATCGGTGGATTCACTTTTAAAGTGACAGCAGCCTAAAATCCCTGTTGCTCTCTGTCATTTAATGTTAATCAAACAAAAAAGAAATCAAGAGAATCATTCACTGCTTTTCATTGAATAACTTTAGTAACTGTAATAAGACACAATGTATGGTTAATTACAGTGAAGACTACGCAGTGTTTTTTTTTTTATTACCTTTTTCAGTTTCTGTATAGTAGGGTGTTATTTTTAGTAGACTAAATTGTTTAATTTGTATCTTTTTTCTATTTTATTTGTTCTACTGTTTGTAATTTTCTTCTTTTTATTGTATTGCTGACTGTTTTTAACTCACTGTTGTTTGGTGACAGTGAAACTGCTCTGAAAAAATAAGTTTGGATTTGCTTAGGCCTCCAGAAGTCTAGGACCAGCAATGGTCTGATTCGTGAATGGATTGCAATTTTTTAGTGAATCAATTATTCATTTTCAGAAATCCAGTCGCAGTGACTCACTGAACAGAATAAAAGTAAATAACACAAATTTTTGAATAATGATGTACACAACTGTTCAAAAGTGTGGGGTTGGTAAGATTATTTTAATGTTTTTGAGAGAAGTCTCTTATAATCTTTTTTTCCAGAATTCTTTGATGAACAAATTTCAAAATAGCAGCATTTAGTTGAAATATAAATCTTTTGTATCATTGTCTTTACTTTCACTTTTGACCAATTTAATGTTTCCTTCATGAATAAAAGCATTAATTTCTTAAAAAAAACAAACACACTTACAGACCCGTTTTTGAATAGTAGTGTACATTTTAGTCTGTTCCTCACACAACGCTATACTTTAGAAGACAACAAATGAACCTATTTTATGATAGTTTTATAGTCTGCTTGTCATTTTGGAGGTTGACAGCCCCACCCATTATTTTTAATAATATGGAACAGAGTGGCCAATTTATTATTCAAAAAGTCACCTTCTGCGTTGTAAAAAGGAAAGAAAGTCAAACAGATCTGTAAACAATATAAAGGTGAATAAGTGATGACAAAACATTTACATTTTGGGTAAACTATCCTTTTAATGTGGATAGCATAACTCAGATAATTTGGTTTTGTGGGAATTCAATGAGAAATACTTCTTGGCTGAGCTGAGTTTGAGACACGTATCAAGCTTTACTACATTTATGTTCAAAAATGACAAAAATAAAAAAAGAAATTATACAGACACTCATAAACACACTAAGAATGCTGAAGGTCACATCCACTTTGTACGGGACACGAGCCAATACTGATCTGCCCTGTCAATATGTGGAACTAGCGTTCAGTGCAGTTAGCACTGATTTGTTACCCAGAGACAGACACCTGTCATTTTCCTGCCAAGTATACTTGTACTTCTTTATCCTTTTTCCACTGGACATCTAATTAGTCATTATGGTATCTTTTTTCCCCTGGTTTTACATCTGTGGATCCAGTTTCACAAATAGTACAAATTCAACTGACATGTCAAATTAATGCACCAATGCTATCATTATTGCTCTGTCATTCACACTTAGTGCACCTACTCACCTGGATAAAAAAGGAATCCACCAACAGACATACTATATCTAGTTCTCCTACGTGGTTTCCATGGTAATGCCTGTTTTGGCTTTATGTCCTGGTCGAGAGATGTTTACCTACTAGCGCATGGTCAGTCACTTCTAAAATATGTCAGCTCCAGTATACTGCCTTGGATACAGCTACCGAGACATTGTTTCATGTTTATTTTAATAGTATATCTCTTCATGTGCCTGGAAACAACACAACAAGGGCACGCAGAGCTACACAGAGACTGGAAATACAAAGCTAGAAGAGGGCAGACAGAATGACCTTGAGCTGTAACTCATAATTTACAGCACAGCCAGGCTTAATAGATTCTGACCCCAATGACAGAGCAGTTCAGGCAGACAGAGTGTGTTTGTGTGTGTGTGTTCAACAGAGAGAGAAAGAGTGGGAGAGAGTCTTTTTTTAACCTTATTGATTTAATAAACAAATTACGCTTGTACATTTATATCGGAAAACAAATGTTAGATTCTGCAGTCTTTTTTTCAACTTCAAATATTTCTAATGTGCAGAGAGAAACTATGCCAAATAAAGCATATAGCGTTAGTTCTGGCAGGTCACGTGAGTCAAGCTTGCATCGGCTGACTCTCAACTGATCCACATCTACCAATAGAAATATGACGCCTATCACGGCATTCCTATACAAGGTCTATTCAGGATTATTCAGGAGCTTTATCACTTGCTCAGGAGCAAATTACCCTCCTCCATCCCCAACTCCTCCTTTCGCCACAGTCAGAACTTGGCTTTCTGATTTTCCTCATTGAATTAGAATCCTTTTTATCTTGAATAATGTTGTTACACTTAAATATCATTAAGAACATTAATGCTATCTGCTTTGTTCTGTTCTGTTTACCCTGGGGGGTTATTGCTGCTCTCCCTGCTCATTCATGACAGGCTGCATGGATGGGCAGGGAGTTTTTTGCCCAAAACAGAATCATACTGCCAAATCCAAACTGTATGCTAAGTGTCAATCATTTTGACGATAATGGTCCTGACAGAATTAAAGTAAGTGAGCCAGCTAAAGGTTGAAAAGTGAAATCTGTGGTGTTTTCAAAAGATTGCTATCAACCAAGGGAGTCAGTTTGAGGCGCCCTCTACCTCTTTTACCAAACACATGGGGGTATGTTTGGGAAACCTGTTTAATAATTACTGTTATTTTATAATTATATATATAGAGCCTCAAGACCTCCACATACTGTTTGTATAATTTCAACATTCATATATACATGTCACATTTATAAGCCAGTAATGGATGAATCCTGTGTGTAAAAAAAGATATAATGAATTATTAATTCATTTTACATTTGGGGGACCTTCACCACAACAATTTAAAACATGAACTAACCTTAGCTCGTCATAAAAAGGTCAAATTGGATTTTCAAATAATAAGCTTCTCAAATAGTAATTTAAAGCATTTTTGATACTTTTTATAAATAATAAATAATAAGAACTGCTAAATAATAAGAAATTATATAATAAAAGGATAAATTGGACAAAAGAGGAAAAAAGAGAACAAAAAATATTCTTTGAAAACACTCTGGGACATAACTAAAGAAATTAAGGCAGTAAGAATGCCCACTGCCATATCATGTGTTTGTCTGCAGTTAATATTCCATGTGCATTACTTAAGGTGTTCTTTCATTTTTTGATGAGACATAATTAAACCCATCAGGACCAGTGGACAGCAGGCATTAGCTGATGCTTTTCTTCCACGAGAGAAGGATAAAGAAAAATGTCTGTGTGTGGGAGGATAAAGGGGTTTTAATAATGTGACTGAAGCAGTATTGTAATGTGTCAAGGTCTTGATCCGAACCTGTAATTATATATCAACATTAGAAGTATTGTTTGGGAAGGCCTTAATTTGGATGGTGGTGTGCCAGAACAGCCCAGTACATTTCCATTACATTAGTTAGTGTAGGCTTTTTTGCTACGAACAAGGGAATAAAGATCAAAATGCTGTTTAATTGTAATGGAATGGGGAGATTGCTACAGGTTACTAACCATCCGCTCTTTCTCGTTCTCTCCCTCCCCTCCTCTTTTAGGATTCTGCCCCCCACAAGTGACAGCTTTCTACTGAAAAACCTGGTCTCTGGCTCAGACTACAATTTGTGCGTGCTAGCCATTTTTGATGACACAGTCACTTCCATGGCCGCCACAAAGGTCCTTGGTTGCACCCAGTTTAGCACCAAGGACAATTACCCAGACTGCCGTTCGCTTCAAGCCCACTTCCTTGGCGGGACTCTTACAATTCTGGTTGGTGGAGTTGTTGTAGTAACGCTGTTGGTGTTTACCGTGGCACTGATGGTACGTCACCGTGTGTGCAGTAACCATGACAATCATCATGAAATTGGCGAGGAGGTGGGTTGCTCAGGAACAGACTTCCCGCCTCTTCCTGCCAAGAGAGCCGATGTCTTTTCTCAGAGTAATGGAAATGGGAATGTGATAATGGTGGTGCTGCCCAACGGACTTGTTCAAAAACGAAAAATGGCAGAGAGAGGGTTGGGTTCACCGCCCAAACCAACTTCCAAAGTGAAACCAAAAACCCTCCCAAAGCCCAAGGTGAATCTGGAACAGTTCAGGGCAGGACTAGAGGTCGAGATGGGGTCTGTCAGGCCTCTTCCTCCATACATTCTGGAGAAAGAGCAAATGTCTTTGTATTATACCCCCAGTAATCATTCCCCCTCCACACTGCCACGGCCGTCACAGCAATTAGGAGCGAAACTGCTCAAACTGCGCCCTACAAATATGGACACAAGTAAAGGGGCCAGTTTAAGCTTGGCTCCGCCCCCTACGTACAGTCGTGACAGGCGGTTCAGCACAGGTGGGGGCATTGTAGTCCGTCGGGGAGGACCAGAGAGCCAGTGGAATTCCTCACTGGCCTATCAGAGCCCTGTGTTGTCCCATGAGAGTTCTCTTCACAGCGCCCTGCGCTACAAGAGAAGCTCATCATTTGATATGGGTGAAATTGCCACAACAGCCTGCTATAGTTATGCCAAGAGACTTAGCGTAATCTGGACCAAACGGAGCCAGTCGTTACATGGCATGCTTGTCCAGTGCACTTCAGCAACAAGCACCTCAACAACCAGCAGCGGCAGCGAAGATTTTCACATGCAGCATGCACGCGGGCACATCCGTGCCTACAATACCACCAACTCAAATTCCAACCCTCCAAAAGCGGAGGTTACAACGAATTCAAAGAACCAGTGGCTGAAGGATAAAGAAAAGGACAAAGAAAAGGAAGAAGAACTTGAGGAGAGTGTGGTGTAGGGAAAGAGAAAACAGATGAGACACAAGTAGATAAATGAAGAGACAGGATGTTAGGACCAAAAAAGATGGATGCAGAAGGATTCATAGAGAAACCGGTTTAAAGGAAAGCTAAAAATGTGGTAAAGTTACTGTATAAGACTGTATTACAAAAAAACAAAAAAACAAAAAACAAACATAAGCTGGTTTGGTGGCCTTAGCTGCTCTCTGGCTTGGTAATGGTGATCTGGTTTGTTGGTTTTAGATGGGTTTGGGGTACTTGCCAGTTGGACAGCCTGTGGCACCAGCAAAACTAGCGGGACTCTTACAATTCTGGTTGGTGGAGTTGTTGTAGTAACGCTGTTGGTGTTTACCGTGGCACTGATGGTACGTCACCGTGTGTGCAGTAACCATGACAATCATCATGAAATTGGCGAGGAGGTGGGTTGCTCAGGAACAGACTTCCCGCCTCTTCCTGCCAAGAGAGCCGATGTCTTTTCTCAGAGTAATGGAAATGGGAACGTGATGATGGTGGTGCTGCCCAACGGACTTGTTCAAAAACGAAAAGTGGCAGAGAGAGGGTTGGGTTCACCGCCCAAACCAACTTCCAAAGTGAAACCAAAAACCCTCCCAAAGCCCAAGGTGAATCTGGAACAGTTCAGGGCAGGACTAGAGGTCGAGATGGGGTCTGTCAGGCCTCTTCCTCCATACATTCTGGAGAAAGAGCAAATGTCTTTGTATTATACCCCCAGTAATCATTCCCCCTCCACACTGCCACGGCCGTCACAGCAATTAGGAGCGAAACTGCTCAAACTGCGCCCTACAAATATGGACACAAGTAAAGGGGCCAGTTTAAGCTTGGCTCCGCCCCCTACGTACAGTCGTGACAGGCGGTTCAGCACAGGTGGGGGCATTGTAGTCCGTCGGGGAGGACCAGAGAGCCAGTGGAATTCCTCACTGGCCTATCAGAGCCCTGTGTTGTCCCATGAGAGTTCTCTTCACAGCGCCCTGCGCTACAAGAGAAGCTCATCATTTGATATGGGTGAAATTGCCACAACAGCCTGCTATAGTTATGCCAAGAGACTTAGCGTAATCTGGACCAAACGGAGCCAGTCGTTACATGGCATGCTTGTCCAGTGCACTTCAGCAACAAGCACCTCAACAACCAGCAGCGGCAGCGAAGATTTTCACATGCAGCATGCACGCGGGCACATCCGTGCCTACAATACCACCAACTCAAATTCCAACCCTCCAAAAGCGGAGGTTACAACGAATTCAAAGAACCAGTGGCTGAAGGATAAAGAAAAGGACAAAGAAAAGGAAGAAGAACTTGAGGAGAGTGTGGTGTAGGGAAAGAGAAAACAGATGAGACACAAGTAGATAAATGAAGAGACAGGATGTTAGGACCAAAAAAGATGGATGCAGAAGGATTCATAGAGAAACCGGTTTAAAGGAAAGCTAAAAATGTGGTAAAGTTACTGTATAAGACTGTATTACAAAAAAACAAAAAAACAAAAAACAAACATAAGCTGGTTTGGTGGCCTTAGCTGCTCTCTGGCTTGGTAATGGTGATCTGGTTTGTTGGTTTTAGATGGGTTTGGGGTACTTGCCAGTTGGACAGCCTGTGGCACCAGCAAAACTAGCTGAAGACCAGCTTGATCAGGCTGAGAGACCAGTTAAGATAGATATGTAATAGGATGTTTTTAGACTGGCTTTTCCGAAGGGAAGTTGTTGAAGATCTCATATAATATTGATGAATCATTCCAGAAAGTACAAAAAAAAGGCAGCATGGGTTTAGGCAGCAGATATAAAAGTCAAGACTTCTAAAAAAAAAAAAACATACAAAAAGTCTGGTTTGTCAGTGAATTTTGGAGATCCACAAACTATATTTATTTTTAAAAGGCAGTCAATGTGAACAAAAAAACACATCACTAAATACAAGCAGGCCCACAGAAACAATGATTACTAACTCACGTGGACCTTGGGGAAATACGATGGTTCATTTTCCTGTGGTCACGTACATTACAGGGACAAAGCCAGCAAGTGGACGTGCCGACTCATGCACAATCGATTGGAGGAGATCAATTGATAACAGCAACAATGGTATTACAGCAAATGTGGAATGCAGAGGATGCAAACTGCAAGTAAAGTGAAAGTGTACAAACTGAACAATGGTGGCATGATTTGGAACACTTTTAAAACATGAATGGGCATTGACTGACAATTGATATTTTGAGCGTGAGTCTGTATGTGTGTATGTGCTTGTAAGTGTGTAGGTGAGTGGGTGGATTAATGCACAAAAAATATATAATTTTATGACACCACTGGATCTACTGTATCATGTGACCACCACTATCCAGTACAGGAATGTGTTATGTGACAATTACATTGGCGGCAAGGATGCTGGACTATTATAGAAGGACAAATTCATTTAAAAAATTGCCATTCCAAAACCACAGAATCAATTAATAAATTCTGTTTTAAAATATGTTTTGTTTGGAGAAATGGATGAAAAAAACAATAATGAGCTGTTTTGCCAGAAATGTTTCTTTTTATTTTTCATGAAATATACTAGCAGTGAAAAACAAAGTTAAGTTTTTTGTTGGCATAAACTCAATGTCAATGTCATTAAGTGTTAAAATGTTTTTTTTTTTTTTACTGAGAATAGAAATGAAGATTAAAATAAGGGAACCACTGATATTAATAACCATTTTAATACCTGTTTGTTATTGTATCTTATTTTGCTAAAGTAAACATTGTTGCCTTGATTTTATATCCTTAAAGGAATATTCTAAGGTCATTACAAGTTAAGCTTAATCGACCGCATTCATGACTTTATGCTGATTACCACAAAAATTAAACTCATTAATTTCAGCTCATCAAAAACAGATCTGTGAAGCACTTACAATGGAAATGAATGGTACAAACTAAATGCTATACTGTTGCAACAATATGTAAACAATATGTGTCTAAACATGATTTCAGTGTGCAAAAGTTACACTACCATTCAAATGTTTTGGGTCAGTTATTTATTTATTTATTTAGTTTTGTTTTAATTCAGCAAGGATGCATTACATTGATCAAAAGTGACAGTACATTCAGCTTTGCCATTACAGGATATTAAAACTGAAAATTTTATTCAAAAAAAAAAAAAAAAATATTTTATGGTAATCAGAATTATGCCACAAATGCTGTCGACTGAGCTTACCTTGTATTGAACCCAGAAGCTTCATTTAAAAATAAAAAAGGGACAGAGTACAGCACTGTTAAGCATTTCAAGTTAAGGTAAGATGAAAATAGTTACTTTTTAAGTAAGATAAGTTTTTTCCCCCTTGTTTTGCTGCCATAAAAAGAGGGCAGGAGACTTGATTGCTAAATTATTCTCCCTCTTTTCCATTGTCATGTCCTGTCTATCTGCAGTTTGAGATAGTTGCTGAGGAAGGGCAGCGTGTGAGGCTGAGATAAAGACAGGGAAAGAGACGGATTGAGGGAAAGAGATAGGACGGACAGCACTGTCTGAAAGAGTGCTAATGCGGGACACAGAGAGAGAGGAAGCGCTAAAGTGAGCGAGCACAATGGATAGAGCTGGAGAAAAAGAGAGAGGACATTGTGTCTGTAATGTGGTATTTTTGTCATGTAAGTGCTTTGCCAGAATTTATCTCATTGCCAATAAACCCCATTTAGGAATAGCTTAGGTGAAAGGAGGGGGAGAAGATGAGTTGAGCTGCATATGTGTGTGTGTGTGTGTGCATCGATGGATGTATGATTGCACAGACACTGTGTACATCTCTGCCTTCTGTATTTACACACAGCAACAGACAGGCTTACAGCAGGTTCTGTACAGGTTTGTAGTGACATGAGGTTGAATAAATGATGACTTTTCATTTTTGGTAGAACTATTCCATTAAATGCCTTTCTTTTTACCTAATTTAACATAGAAAAACAACACTAACAACAGACTTTTATAGAGTGAATGGCCATAACCCCAGTGATCTGTGTTACATAATCGGATCCCAGTGGTCTATATCATTTGAGAAGATTAAAGTTGGCTCAGTGCATATTGTGACCATGGCAGTCTATTTGTCTGAAAGAGATGGGCCAAAAAGAGATGAGAAAATGTGCTATTTCTCACCCAGTCCCAGAGTGTGCGTGATGTAACCTAAAATAAAGGACATCCAGCTCTACTTTACCTGCCTGCAGCAAATTCTGGACCAATTTGACTAATTAAAACCAGTTTGATTGATGTATACACACATACACAGTTTGTTCTTACAATGTTTCTGCACTCAGCCAAATCACACACATAAACTGGTTCATCTCTAATAGGCTGGCTACAGAATGGCCAAGAATGAACTTGTCATCCAGGGCAGTCTCATAAGGGAAACATAACTGTAGCGATTTATAGCCTTGCACCACCAAAATGTCACTCTGGTGACACTCTCACCTCATTTCAGATAATTCTTTTAGGCCTCTGAAACCTTTTATTACATATTTTATTAATGTCACATGTTTGAGTGAATCAAAACACGGAAGCCAAACCCCAACCTTATTCCTAACCCCAACCTCACCTGCCTGTCATGCACTTAGTAGGGCACCTTTCGCCAATCTGCAGATATTCTTAGTTGCATCACTGTCTGAATTACATACCCAGGACAAAATAGGCAGATATAATTTAATCAAGAAGAACAAAAGCAGCATGAAGTACTATAAAAGCAGTCTGTGTAACTTGCGCACCTCATTCCAAGTCATCTAAAGCCAAATAGATGCCAAGTTTGAGCGACAGACCAAGCCATTTTTATTTGAAGACAGAAATCATAATTTTGGGGTGAACAAGTCTGTGAAAATGATGTATATCAATAACAATGCAACTGATAATGGCACAAGAGTTACATATTGGGGAGTATGGATATATGTTGCTAGAATGTTGGAAAGACGTTCTTCTGTTTGAAGAATTTCAAAGATTTCGCCCACCCACCATTTTCTTCCATACTTAGTATAATGCACAATTATTGTGGCATGAAACGCTGTGAGAAAGACAATGAGCACTCAAACATTCAAACAGTATTTACAACTTCATCTCATTATGTGAAAGTTTCTTGTCTTCAACAAAGCACTGGATTTGCTAGAGCCATAATTAAATTTGGCCATTTGCAGTACAACATTCACGATATTGCTAAATGGATTCTAGGCTAATTAAAACCCCTCAGTTGACTAGACTCCAAGGCTAAATGCAGTTAACTTTGATTACCTAATTGGTACGCATAATGTTCTGCAATATTAGCTAATCTCAGCTGTATGT